CTGAGCTAAATCCCCAGCCCCCGAAAAATACTTTTTTAAAAAGGCATGCCAAGGTTGTAAAGTAATCAATTGAGGGCTAAAACATTAAACAAGGCACCACAACATAAAAGACACAAAGGATGTTTCATGCACAGTTTGGTGAGCTAAAGGAAATAATTTTTTTATTATGAACCTTGAGTCTAATAAACCATATGGATCCTGCAACAGAAATGCGCAGCAAGCTCCCAAGTTAGTAACAAATTCAAACAGGCAGACAATTCTAAAGTAAAAAAACAGTGAACATAAATATCTAAATCCCTTTGTCCATTTTGGGCTCATAGAAGGGGTTCCTAGGAGAGAATGTTCTGTTAGATTTGGGGTAACCAAAAGGAGAACAATTAGAACAAATGGCACACAGGCAGACATACAAGACAAGAGAAGCTGCAGCAAAAATGGCCTTCACTCAAAAATTTGCCAAATTTTGGAATTGGTCAAATTTTGGCATCTGGAGAAATTAACAAATTAACTAATGGAACAGATCTCCTCCCGGGGCAGAGTCACAAATGGACAAGATTCATCCCAAAAAACCAACTGACTCTGTCCTCAAGAGGTCCTCACTCCCCAGATTGAGGGCGTCCCCTCCCAATGGAGCAGTTTCCCACTCCCCAAATTGAGAGCATCCTTCCCAATGTGCAAACTGACCATGGTCTAATTAATCCATCCAAAGTACTTACTTTTAAGTGTTCAGAATTGAGTCGGGGGTCTTGCTTCCATCCTGGACGAGCCCCCAAATGTGATAGCACAGACTCTGGAATAAAATCCAAGGAAGCAAGAAATTAAAATTTGGGAAGCAAAGGCTTTATTTTAGGCCAGGCCTGGCGACACAGCCTCCAGGAGCCAATATGGAGACTGCGCACCTTACAGCTAAAAAGGTTGGGTTTTAGAGCCGAAAACCACAGGAATGTTGTGAACTTTGACCCAGTTTGCTAACTTCCTTGTAGTTAAACGTTTCTTAAGGACAGCACATTGTATTGCAGATAGGCTGAAAGGGGGTGGGGGGATTACAAGAAACTGAAACTTAAAGCTTTTATGGGAAATGGAGACTTAACCTAAGAATGGGGAGGGGAGGAGGATTTACAAGGAGCTGAAACTTAAGTCTTTACTGGAGATGGAATTTTAATCTCTATTGAAACAGTGCATACAGAACAGGAAGGGGGCGCATTGGTAAGAACTATGTTACAACATCGGCTAAGATTTTTTTCCCAATTCATGGGTTTTCTTTTCACTCTGTTAAAGATTTCTTTTAACATGCAACGACTTTTTAATAAGACTAGATCCCAGTTGCTGATTCTGGTAAGTATTTCTCATGCTATTTGATTTTTGATCATACCTCTCTGCCTCCTCCTATATCTTCAAGATTTCTACCTATTTTGTCTTCCAGCAGATTAGTACTATCAGTTCTTGGAAAAGAACACTTAATACTCTCACAATTTGATCATTTTTGCATGTCTACATCTGGTAATCTAAGCAACTCTTTTGAAGATAACAATATGCAATATAACAACCATTGTTAAATGCCTATCATCTTGTTTTGAAAGCCTACATTGTTGTTGTTTGGGATTTTTTGTTATTCTTGTAGCTGTTGTTTATTCAACTTTTTTCTGTGTTTTTTTCTCTCTAAAATTAAAAAAATATTACAAGTATAGTCCCTTAGGTAATATTGATTCAATGGAGAAACAAGTCACTTAGCAGGTGAGCAGGGAAAGAACAAGGACCTTTCATGGAAGGGATGGGTCAAGATCCCGGCCCCCCTCCACCCAGGTGATTGATGCCTATTTAGAATATCAATCATAAGTGTTTATCATTTCAGGAAGTATGTAGATGTAGTCAATTTGTCTTTGTCTTGAGGCCTGGCCTTCAACAAATGCACTTCCACCCACAGTTGTAATTTTTTTCATCTTCTGCACTGTCTCCTTTGTGGCCTTATCCTTCTCTGTTAATATTTCTAACTAATTTAGCTGTCTATAATATGAAGAGCAGGGGCTCAGCCTCTCTCAGGGTATTTGGATATCAGCCATGTGTGATCACTAAGGTTTCTAGATCGCACAGGTTGCCCTGGATCAAATGTCCATGTTCAACAACACTGAAAATGACCCTGTAGTGCCAGAGATTTAGCTAAGCGGCACAAGTACTTGCCTGAAAAGTGTGAGGTCATGAATTTCATCCCTGGTAAGAGTCACTGAGCCATTCTGAGGGGTTCCCAGAAAAGAGGAGGAAGTCCAGGGTTAACCCTGATGGAGACGATGGTGAGGGGATGTTGTGAGTGGCCCTTATCAGATTCTGTTAACCTGGCACTTTCAGCAGTGTTTCCCAAGGTATGATTTCCTAGAAAATCAGTGGCAGCCCCTGGGAACTCATTTGAAGTGCAACTAATCTAGGGGAACAAAACTCCCTACCTACTATATGTCCAGTATGAATTCATGTTCTTTAAAATCAAAGAATGAACTTTAGGAACAAGAGAGGTTAAGAGCAGAAATATTTATTGAGAGAGACAGAAGGGGTCCTGAGTAGGTTACCAAAGATCCTGTATTTTCTAGGGATTTTTTATAGACTAAAACAATGAGGCAAGGCAAGTCTAAAGTGGGGAAAACAGAACTCGCAAGGCAGATGGGCATGAGGTTGGGCAGAGCTATGGTCAACCAATAAGTTTAATTGTTCAGGTAAAGTTGACCAAATTAGGGACAAATGGGGACCCAAGTCATGTGGCAAGGAAGCATTCTTTATGGTTCAGTGACTCTTTCTCTAGGAGGTTGGGATGGTGACTCCTGGCTTCTCAAGATGATCCATACCCAAACCCTAATGTTTATACCTGTGGTGTGGTTGCATTTGTTTTGCTTTCCGTTTTGAGAGCTAGCCCACAGTGGCGGGGGGGGGGTTCCTCCTCCAAAGTCACAAAACATCTGGTCCTCGGTGCCAGCTGCTTCTTCTAGGGCCTAGCCCTGTCTAACTACTATAGTGTTTCTAACTAGCTCAACTGCCTGTCACACTTTTATCTTTCTTCTTGTCCTCTTTTTCTATTTACTTGGTCCATGCTTATTCTGCAGACCCAGTCTCTCCCTCACTCTTCATGATCACTTTTTCTTTCTTTCTTTCTTTTTTTTTTTTTTTTTTTTTTTTTTTGTACCTGGGATTGAACTCATAACTCATGCTTACCGAGCAGGTGTTTGAGCCGCTGACCTAAATCTCTGGCTCTTCATTTTTTTCTGTTTTCTCTTTCTTTCTTTCTTTCTTTTTTTTTTTTTTTTTTTTTTTTTTGGTACCTGGGATCCAACTCACCATCTAGCACTTGCCAAGCAGATGCTTGAAAGGATTTTGCCCCATTTGGTACACTATAGCTGGTGAAAAGCTGGGAGGTGGGACTAGGGGGCTCTATCTTCCCTACCCCTAGGAATTTACCTGTTGTCCAAAATGAATACCAATGGGCTACCTGTGCATCACTAATGTCCCTTAGGAACCATCCCAAACCTAAGCTACATGTATGCCCCCACTGCCGATGTCCAATGGAGAGAATGCCAGACCCCAGAGAGTCAGGGGCTCTCTCCCCGCATTCTTAAAATAAAGGTCATTTATATTTCATACTTCTTATCTTTTCAGCCGCATGAGAATTCTATCAGTGCTTTGCTGCCATACTGCTTCGCTGGCCCGTTTATTTCTATTTTCTTGAATAAACTTTCAACTATGTTTTGCTCATTTCATTCAATTCTTTGCTCATTTAGCACCAGAAGGAGAGCCAAGGAATCTAAAACCTGGTAATGTTTAGTTGGCAATCCAGTTAATAACAGTGATACATACACACCTATATCTACAGCAGCATAACTCATAATTGACAAATCTTGGAAGTAACCTATATATTCATCAATAGATGAGTGGGTAAAGAAAATGTGGTAGTTACACTAGTGGAGTCTACTGTGTCATAATGAATGTCATTTGTAAGAAAATGAATGTATCTTGAGATCATAATGTTAAGTCATATCAGACACATAAGATTGAATATGACATGCTTCCTCATATATGATAAATCCATAATATAATTTAGATTGAAACAAAAGACAAACAAAAACATTGATAAATGTAACCACATACAAAAATGTTTTTTACCATGCTTATAATGAACCCAGGATCCTGTACATTCCACGTAAGCATTTTAATACTGGGTTATACCTCCAGCCTCAAAGTGAATGTTTAAATAAGAAAAAGATCCATAATAAAAAGATAAATGATAATCAAGAAACAGATATTTGCAACATATAGATAAACAAGAAGCATTATTAATAATTTTTTTAAATTCCTAAAAAATGATGAATAAAGGACCAAAAAACTACATAGAAAAATAGGGGAGAGCTATACTGCAGGCAGAAACAATGGCGCTGGGGAAGTCTCTCCCTTCCACCTATTTAAACTTAAAAAGCACCCAAGGGTCATCCCTCCTTCCATTGTTCTAAGAGAAGTAGAAAATGGCATAACAATAACCCAGGAAATCACTGGTGCTCTAGGTGAGAGGACATATATTGGACCTCCTAGCCTGACCATTAGTTACTTTCATCCTGTGTAACCCTCATTAAAGGTTTGTAAATACACTAGATATCATTCAGGTAGCTTTAAGATCAGAGTTAATTCTGGCTCTACGTGCATGTTGAGAGCATGTCTGCTGTAGTGAGGTAACACTATACCTTGTCAGTCATACCTGTCAATCACACCTACAGATCCAAGGAATATACCTGGGCTGAGGTCCATATCCTGTGAATTTTGAAAGCCTGATTTATGGAGGTTCAGGCTGCAGCTGTGGGCTATGTTCTGGGCAAGTGCTGTTATTATCTTGTCACCTTGACACCATTTTTTGGTTTTGCCACAACTTTTAATTTCTTTTTTTTTTTATTTAAAAGAAAAAGAAAAAAACAAAACAAAGCAGTGTAAGGGTACAATTAATACAGAACTACAAAAAAAAACTAGTAAGAAATCACCAATTAATAGATTACAGTTATCATCCTAGGGTGACCCAAGAACAAACTGGGCTGAGAGAAACCAACTGGGAATGCAATCCTGGTGCTATAACAGGAACAGATAAAGCCTCAGCGTGGAAGCTGGAGCCCCCGCCATTGGAAGCCGTGATTTGGGTTTCCCACCGCTGCTGCTGCGTCTGCATCGGCTCAGCAGGGAGAGAGACGCGCGGAAGCTCTGAGAAAGGGAATCGGTGAACGGAATTGAGAGCAGGATGGGCGGGGAGCCGTGCATCCACCTCCGGTGAGTGAGGGAAAACTGGGACTCTGCCATGGTCCAGGAGACTCCAACAGAGGACATTCTGGGACCGGGCAGACTTGCGGGAACAGGGCGCTGCAGTGACTTCAGTCATGTATCCCCCTCTCAAGCAGGATTGGTGAGCAGTGCCTAGCCCACGTGATGCTGCTGGCTGAGACCCAGTAGGCTAGCACAGCCCAGGTCCCAGCTCCTGAAGGTAGATTGACCTGGAGTGGCAGGCCCCGCATAGGTTGCCCAGTCTGCAACTTCCTGGTGCGCTGCGGTGGGTGGAAACACCTAGCTGGTGCAATTCAATCAGACTATGGCTGACAGGGAAGGAAGCTGGGCCTCCTATATACGCTTGCAGATATAAGGAACAAAGAATATGGGAAGAGGCAGCAACAAGAAAGGGTCCTCGGCCCCCAATCCTGAGAAAGAGACAACAGCAGACACAGCACCAATAGACATAAAGCGCTATCTCGAGAGCCTCATAGACAAGTTCAGGAATGAAGTTATTAATGACCTGAAGCTAGACATAAGCAGAATAGTTAGAGAAATGCTAAGCACCACCCAAGAAAAAACAGATGGTGGAATGGAAGAACAGAAAAAGAGGGGAGAATTGTTTAATGGAGAAAATAGAGAAAGCATAGAATACGTGAAGCAGGTTCAAAGAGACTACCAGGAAACTAAAAAGTCTATCAAAAACTGGCATAACAGCTTGAAAGAAACTAAGGACAAATTATCTGAACTGGAGGGCAGAGTTGTAATATGGAGCATGAAATGAAAAACTTCTTAAAAATAACAGCAATAATACAAAGACTAGAAGATGATAAGAAGGTCTATAACTTAAGAATTAAGAACATAAAAGAAGAAGTAGGGACACAAACAAATGAACTACAAAAGCTACTCACAGAAAAGCCATCAGAGACAAGAAACAGATGACTTACAAGGGAACACCCATCAGAATTACAGCAGACTTCTCGGCACAAACCATCAAATCACGAAGAGTGTGGGGGGAAATAATTCAAGCTTTGAAAGATAATAATCTCCAGCCAAGATTGATATATCCTGCACAACTATCCCTGGAAATTGATGGAAAAACAAGGTGCTTTCAGGATAAAGAGGAACTAGGGGAATATGCAACCACCAATTCAACTCTACAGAGAATACTGCAAGATATTCTAAAAAAGAAAAATACGAAAAATCCAGAAGTAGCGGCAGAGAGGCCACAATGAATGGAGCAGAAAACAAAACGAAGAAGACAAACTGACAACTAATGACAGAAAAAGAGCTCAACAGAAATGAGGCAGAGAAGATTGGATGATAGGAACAGCTATATTGAAGAAAATGACGTCTTAAGAGGTAATACTGATTTCGTATCATCTTGTTTTGAAGTCTCATCAAGCTTTTGTTCTTCTGTCTCCATTGGTCTAAACAGGTGGTATCTTATTGGATTTTATTATATATGATAGTATAAGCAAAACCTTTTATAGACAAGGAGATTATACAGAAACCATTGTTCATTTTCTGTTAGTTGATTCTAAATACCCTGTAATACTGTCATTCTCTTAAATGGTTTTACATTGTTTTGATATATTTGATGCTACAGTATACGAAGTTATACTCAAAGATTTCAAGGAAAGAGACAATATGGTAACTACTTTTATGTCGGGATAATCTTGTGGTGAAACACTATTTTGCTTAAATGGTTAAGTTTTGATCTGCGCTGATTTGCTGTTATGCCCTCTTTTATTTCAATATCCATTTTATTATTTACTTTTTTTATCCTATTAATTAAGGGAAAAATAAATTAAAAAATAGCAGGATATATTATAGTGACCCACTTTGACTTTCCATTATCTTGATTTAAAGCCCTGTATTACTGTCACCATCTTGTTTTGACTGATGTTCCTCTATTCTGTTTTGCTTGATAGTATCAGGTTCGAAAGTTTAGGCAACAGCTGTGAAGATAGTGGGATTCATTATGATGCCCATTCTGGTTGACTATTATCTACTTTTGAAGACCTATAATTCTCCAATGTTTTGGTTTTGTTGGTTTTGTTCTTTACTGTTTTGTTCAAATTTTATTATAACTAATGATATAGGCAATTCTATTAGAGATAGCGGGAGAAATTATGGTAACCATTGTTGATCACCTAGTTTTATGCTTTTACATTATCTATTACGTCCACCTTTTTGATTTGACTGACTGTTCTGTTATGTCACTTTTGGTTCTACTCTCTTCCAAAAAAGTAATAAGAACTGTGGGAGCAACAAAACCCAAAATATGTAATTGTCATTGTACAAAAGAGAGGAAAAGAAAGTGCTCTAAACGATATAATTGCATGTATATTTAAGTGTATAAGATAGATAATGATATTACTGAGTTTTATTGGATCATTGAACAGAACTGTTTGCAGTCTCACTGTTGGAATGTCCACTTTGTAAGCTTTAATTTTGTAACTTGAACAATTATTTCTAAGATGACAAAATGTAATCCATTAACTAGTGATTTCCTACTGTTTATTTTTTTCTGTAAATCTGTATAACTTGTACGCTTTCTCTGCTTTTTTTTTTCTCCTCAAATAAAATTTTTAAAAAATGAAAAAAAAAAAACAATTATCATCCTAGAGACAGTTGCTCAAGTCACAGTATCGAAGCATATAAAGTGGACATTCAAACAGTGAGAAAGTTGTGTTCAATGATCCAACCAAAAACATTAATATGGGCATCTATTTAACACCCCTAAACACACTTGTAGTTGTATACTTTAGAGCACTTTTTTCCCTCTCTTTTTTACAACAAAATTTACACATTTTGTGTTTTATTACTCCTTAGTTCTTATTATTTTTTTTGGAAGAGAATAAAGTCAAATATGGCTAAACAAAGTTGTCAGTCAAAACCAAGGATAGACATAGCACATGATGTAAAAACAGAGTACAAGGTTATCGACAATGGTTACTATAATGCCTCTTGCTTCCTTAAAAAGAATTGTCTGTCTCATTAGGTATTATAAAGTTGAACAAAACAGTAGAGAACAAGACCAATAAAACCTAAACCTTGTAAACACTACAGGACTTCCAAAGAAGATACTAGTCAAACCAGAATGGGCATCATAGTGAATCTTATTGCCTTCAAAGTAGTTGCCTATACCTTCGAAATTGATACTATCATACAGAACGGAACAGAGTCTAATCACTCAAAACAAGATAGTGGGAGTATTACAGGACTTCAAATCAAGTTAATAGGGAATCAAATAAGTTACTATAATATATCCTGCTAATTTTTTTGATTTTTCCCCTTAATTAAAAATATTATAAAAAATAACTAAATAATTTTTTAATGAATAAGGGAGAGATTGAGATAAAAGAGGACATAACATCATAACAGTACAGGTCAAAGCATGACAGTTTCAGCAACCTAGTGCTTCACCACCAAATAACCCAGTTTAATAGTAGTTACCATAGTGTCTTTTTCCTTGAAATATTTGAATATAACTTCATATACTATAGCTTCAAACATATCACGTCAGTGTAAAATCATTCAAGTGGATGAAAGCATTGTAGGGTTTTTATTTGCCACAACTTTTGTCTGCATGGTCTCACCCTGAGCACAACTTCTCATGATCTTCAATACATCATACAGCTGCTTTCCATTTGCTGTTTGGGTGTATGCTTTACAATTCATTCTTTTTGTTGTACACAACAGCCTGGATAATAAGTGCCCATCATATGGTAAGAGTGGTGCACCCCTGTAATCCCAGCATTTGAGAGGCTGAGGCAAAAAGATCAGTGCAAGTCTGGGGTCAGCCTGGGGGAACATATTAAGTTCAAGGGCAACCTGAACTATACAGTGAGATCCTGTCTCAAAGAGAAAGGAAGGAAGGAAGGAAGCAAGGAAGGAAGGAAGGAAGGAAGGGGAAAAAAGAAAGAAAGAAATCACAAATGCAATTCACAAAAATATATTGAAAGATATGTAAAGATAGCTGAGTATGCTGGCAATACCTATAATCCCAACATTTGGGAGTTTGAGGCAGAAAGATCAGATTTCAAGGCCAACCTGAACGACATAGTGGAAACCTTGTCTCTAAATAAGTAAATAAATAAGTGGAAGGAAGGAAAAACTAGAAAGTGAAAAGATGTTCCATCTCACAATCAGAGAAAAATAAATTTACCTACAGTTACATACTATGCCCCACATATGAAAACTGGCAAAACATGAAAAACACAAAAAGTGTAATAACCATGAGAACTACAAAGTGTGTTAGAGACCACTCAACAACCTGTATGCAAGCAACAAGGCATATGGTTTAATACCTAGGTGCAGGCAGACAGAGGGCGATAAGGTTATCTGCAAGGAAGAGAAGTGGGCCTATATTACAGCGCTTGAAAGAGGGCAAGGACGTTAGGCAGGAAGATGTTAGTAAACATCTATGGTCACAGTTTTGGCTGTCTCTCACCTTCATGGGCAGAGAAATAGCGTCTGGTGTAAATTTTGGGGTGTCTCCAGATGTCTGGGCACCTGAAAGATTCCTTGTCCTATCTTATCTCTTTTACAACATGGTGTGACAGGTAGGCTTATATTTGGGGTAAGATGTACTTGTATGAAGGTTCAAGTCCAATTCGTAGGAAGACACAAAAAGGTAGAAGTCCCACAGAGGAAGAAAATACCTGGCCTGGATAGACAAAACTGATTATGAATGCCAGAAAGATATTTAAGTTTTCTATCTTCATTATCCCAGACATTTAATGTGCCCAACAGAACAGTGCCCCTAAGAGGCAGAAAAGGCTCTCTGGTTTGAGGAATCTGAGGTTGCGGCTTCATTTTTCTAGTGGAGGAAAATTCTCTTGGCATCTACTACCAGCCACGCAGAAGAATGATTGAAAGTGGGCGTGAGGAGGCCATCAGAGTGGGTGGGAGTCTGAGCACAGGCGTTCCATGGATGTGTATCTGCTCTTGGGAGACGACAGCCATCGCATAAATCAGAGTGTTTGTCTTGAAGCAAAGGAGCAGTGACAATCTGGGGAGGGGCTGAGAAGTGAAAGGGTGACCAAATGAATCAGCAGTTTGGGAGGAGGTTTTAGATTATTCGGTGATTAACCATTGGAGCCTAACAAGGTCGGTGTGAAATTACACCAATAGGGAGAGAGGTGTCTGAGCAGTGACCTGGAAGATATATAGTGCTGGACGCAAAGGTGGGGGGGGTGTGGGTTTGAAAAGTTAGGTCAGGGTCAGTGGTTACTGGACTGTCTATAAGCTAGAGTCCTTATAAGGCGTGAAATTTGTCAGGTAAGTTTGTAAAAGCTGGGCTGTTTAGGACAGTGCATGACCTCTTTGAACAGTGTAAGCAAGAGGGAAAGAAGGGCCACATTTCCTAAAGGTTAGTTTGTATAAATGGAGAACCCTCCTGTCATAGGATGGTAAGTAAGTGAGATTGGTGCTGGCCCATACTTGTGGCAGAATGAATGTGGCCTCAGCAGCAGCAGCAGATATGGAAACACAATGTGAACAGTCCTTTGCAGCAGGGGTTAGACTGGTTAAGGAAGGAGTGGGTAACCTGGACTGTCATGTACAGATAGCTGGGCATTCGTGAGGAGACTGGGGGGAGAACACTTGCGGGACATAGGAATACTGGCTAACCACTGTATCTATTGGAAGCAATTCCATCCTGAAGACAACCAACTTGTAGCATTAACAGAAGAGCGGAGAATAAGACCCACAAAAAAAGGCCTAGTAAAAACAGGATATCTGCAGTCTATCTTATCTGTCATGGGCCTCTCTATTGATCATCAAACAGGAGGAAGCTAAGAAAATCACAGTGTACCCTGGTAAAGATCTTCTATCCAGGTGTAGAAAGAATGGAGAATAGAAGCCTGAGAGTGAAACCAGTTCAAATCAGTGCAAACTGAACAAATAAAATCTATGAAGCAACAGGGATGTACAGTGGTGGGCATTTAGGTGTTTTCTGAGATTTTGGTCAGCCTGAGGGATACAAGGGAGAGTACTTGCAAGTTCCACAAAGGGGAGAAAGTCAGGTGAATTATCCTGGCACAGTTTTATTCGAGACTGGTGCATCCACTGCAGAGGGTCTTGTAAACAGACAGTCATTGGAATGCTATAGATGACTCTGAAAGACCCCTTCTGAAAGATTCTTGCCTTAGTAGAAATTATGGCAGTGGTCTAACGTGGAGGAAAGCCAAAGCAGGATTGCCTGCCACTTCCTGCTTCTTCCTCAGCCTTAATTGCGCCTCAATCCCCTTCCTGTTTGAACGTGACGAAATCTCCAATCAGCTCATCAAGTGTCACCAATGCCCACCCTAAGTGCAACCCCCCGTCAGAGGTCATGTATATATATATCCCCT